TTTGCTCACTTCAAGAAAGGAAGGAGGAACCCCCAAAAAGGCCGGGTGAATTATATGCGCTTGGTCTCCCCAAAGACTCATTGCCAGACGGGCGAGTTTTACCGCGAGTTCGTCTCGCCTGGTGCCGAGGGAGTGGACAAATGCGATTTGCACCTGAGAATGTGCCAGCCCCAGTAGGCCTTCAACCATTCGAGCCTCACAAGGATTGCGGCACCTTTGCTTGTTGTTCTTCTTTTTTTGGAGGGCACCAACAAACTGCCCGTTTTGTAGGGGTTTGGTCGGATAAACACATACCCGGGGCCTTTGGCACAGGACCCTAAGGCCGACCTGAACCCATCCTTGAACATGCTTGGAGCTTGACCCCATTTGCCAATTTCTATCTGGTTTTCTAGTGACAAAAACCAATTCTGGTTTTCTAGTGGAACAAAAAATAAAAATACAGACGCCAGGTTGGCAACTCCGAGGCCGTCGGACCCTGCAATTTCTCTCCCCGCTGGTGGTTGGGATTGGATGTGAGGTTAGAGTATCTTAGATGTCCAGTGGCCAGGGGAAAACAAGGAATCGGCATCCTTTTTCGGGGTTGGTTGAGTTGAAACGCAACCCGAAGCCCCAAAAAAGTGGGAAAAAGGAAAGCAACCCACCGATTGCAACTGGGGTATGGATTTCTCATGTTTTTCTCTACAAGAGTTACGGGACCTGGCAGATTGGCAAGTGCCTCTCTCAGCCCCCCACCTACCCGGCTCGGCAGCTCGACAGCTGAGCTCGGCTCCCAATAAAACACACCCTTGGAGTTTCGCGTCAAAAGTCCTAACCCAACCCACAAAAAGCATGTTGCAAAAGTCTAAACCCAGCCCAAAGGGTGATGACCCACTTAACATGCTCGTAACACACCAAAGGCATGGTTGTACGACGCTGCTAGTTCTATATGACCATGCCTGCTCCTACGTACCTGTTCCCTGCCCCTTAAACCCTCCAACCAAACCACATGCCAAAGGCTGTAGCCCACCAAAGCCACGGTTGCAAGTTCCCCCCGGTTCGATTTGTTCCCGTGCTTGCCTGCCGTTCCAACTCCAAAAAATCACGTGGAATCAACGACCAAACCGTCGAAACCGTCCCTCCGTCCCCCTCCCCCCGCCACAAAGTGCGGAACATCACGGTGAAGGTGACGGAGGTGCCAACGACCATGGCGTACCAAACGCCGGCGACCCCCAGGTGCAAGGGCCTCGGGCGTAAATTTGCGTTTGCGGGTTTAGAATGGGGTGGGGTTGTGTGGGTAGGGTGGGCTTATTCGGGTGGGTTTGGGGTCGAATGGCTCACTGCGAAGGGAGTCAAGTCCACCAAAAAACCCATATGACACCTGAGCGTTGATCTGCAGAAGCTTCTGAGGCAGCGGACATGTGCTTTGAATTTGATCCTGAGTCCGAGCTGATCCACCTACTCCTACTAATCCTTTTTTCATTGGTTCGGAAAAGGCTAAGAATCACTGGCCTCCTACCCGAGCCGGAGCCCATCGACATAAATATTCAATGTTCAAAATGAGGACAGTGGTTTGATGCCTACGGGGTAAACTCTTGGCCCCTTTGGGGAAAACCAAAGGACCAAGCCCAATGTTCCACAAGACGTTCCAGTCAAAGCCATAGCAAGGCGAGCCATGGGGATTGGCCCAAAAACCGGCACAATGGCCCCGAACATTGCAATCACTAGTCGCATTGTTCGGCTGCAATGGCTCCCCTTGCTATGGTCCTGAATCAGCATATGGCCATGGGTCAATTCCCGTACCCCCAGCGAACATCCCAATCCCCACTAAAATAGGTTCTAAAATTGGTGGTATGCATTTTATCCCAAAATGGTACCATTGGTTTTGACCCACAGCCATATGACCATGGACTACTTGCTAACTCCACGTGTGCGGCCCAGCTTGGGTCAAGGCAAATCTTGGCTTAGCATCACCTTTGGGGCCGGGCGGATTTTATTTCAGCTTCACCACTTGTTGAAAGGGCGATGTCGAGACACGGAGTCGCCGGAACATGGATCCTGGACTGCCCGTTTTCAGATCCCTCGCTACAATTTTAAAAGTGACTGACTTTGGTGGGTTGAATGGAAACTACCACTAAACACTAAAAAGCTAAAAGGCTAAGGGATGGCTGGGAGCCACCAAGGATCCAAAAAACCATCCCGTGTTTTGTCCAGCGGCCAGCAGAAAACGATCCCCAAGGGCAGCATGAGCAGGTAGTAGCCTCACGTGAGCGTCACCCACCTCCGTCAAGACTTGAAGTTAGAACTGTATATCTCAATCTGGGGACGGGTTGGGCAATTTTCTGCCAAACCAAGAGGCTGCAACCAACTCAAAGTTCACTTACCCTTTTCACGCTCCTTTTAGAGTGCCCTGCTTGCATTTGCTTCCCCGGGGAACCCAATAAATCCAGTATAGAGATTCTTTATTTCGGGTGCACGCACAAGAACCCTTGAAACAGCTAGGTATTTGGAGAGTGCCGCAATG